ATGCTTCGTTTGTGTACCACACGAAAGTGTACCATGGTACAGAAACGAAGCATAAATGCTTCAAATGTGCCTGGCCGCCTTCGGCCATCGTACTTTCTGCTGTAAAATGGGACAGAAACGAACAATAAAAGTGTAACGCAGAAGTGTACCACAAAAGTGTAACGCGGGACACAAAAGAAGTATAAATGCTTCGTTTGTGTACCACACGAAAGTGTACCATGGTACAGAAACGAAGTAAAAATGCTTTGTTTGTGTACCACACGAAAATGTTCCATGGTACAGAAACGAAGTATAAATGCTTCAAATGTGCCTGGCCGCCTTCGGCCATCGTATCTAGCTGACACCAAATCTCACCCAGGATACATCCAACACGTTACTGTATACAGGAAAATACCAAATGTAGGCTACGTGAGACGACACCGCCTGTACTGGTAGGTCGTCTACTGAAAGGGCGCAAAGCCGTACGTGATAGCGGACGTAAAACCATCAAAATCAATCGGTACTGGCTCTCATTAAAGTGTACCCTGAACGAAAATAGAAATTGATATATTTTTATTCTATATGATCCAAACACAACAATGTCGACAACCGCAGAAAAATCGGTCATCCCGATACCGAGAAATTGACGTGTTAATTGTACGATTTTCACCTGTCCTTCTTCTCCCAATTGGCATAATCGTAATTCGTGGTGATTTGGGAAAGGGAAATTAAACAGAAATAGTCTCAATGTTATCGATCAAAGATATTTCTTAATTTTAGCTGGAAAGTCAGTTTGCAATTATTTTCTTTACTCTACACCGAGGCCGTCCTTAAATGACCTTAGCTGTTAATAGGACGTTAAACAAAATCAAACAAACAAACAAACAAACTCTACACCGAGACGTATATACTTCATATGTTTCTGCTCTACAGTGAGAACTGATCGAATCATATCGTCATTGAACAGCATTACGTTGTAACCAGTTTCTGTTTTAATATTTATATTGAAAAAAAAGTTATAAACTGTGGTACCTCTACGGTCCAAAAATACGGAAATATATCAGTGAAAATGTTTACAAAATAACCTCAAACGTTGGTGTCTGCTGTTTTTAAATGTCAATATTTTTAGTATCACCGTTTAATGACAAATCCACGACATTATGTCTTCCGTATGTTACATATAGGTCGACATTTCAAACATTTGGTTGTATACAATACAGGACCTGTGTATGCGATGCTAAACTAGATCACGGACTTTTATAATCTAATTCTAGAATTTTATTTATCTCAAAAATATCATTGAATTATGATATTAAAACATTTTTTTGTTTCTCCCTATATATGTAGCATACACAAGTTTTAATTGAACATCTTATTTAAATTATGAAAATCATCTCGATCCACTCCCTTAGCATACTTGGGTATGAAATTTGTGTACATGTAAATAACACTTAACACCTGTGCCCCGTGCTGACAACAGGAGGCCCAATATTCACCTATATAACCGTGTACAGATATGACATCAAAAGGATGTCAGCAGAGGGGAGTCTAGTCCGAATTATTCTGACGTTTTATCGACTTTTTTATATCGGTCTGTCGTCGATTAACGTCAGAACTCCGGCCCTCTATAATATGCGGGAAATAAGTGACCCGCGCCCGGGTCGCACTTCAAACTGATATTTTAGAAACAAATCGTCACTTTCACACACACTGATGGGCCAATGGCCCAAAGTTTAAATAAAACTTCAGAACATGAAACTTGAGTAGGACAATAAAAGGAACAAGCATGACAGGAATTGAAATTTGTCGCTCGGCGGGCGACTGAGTACCAAATCACCTGACGCGTACTGTGTGTAACTCTTGTTCCAATTTATCATACACATTCAAATATTTTGTCATATTAGTATACCTATTTGTGTTATCATTCAAACCAGAGACGTATATATGACATAAACTTAAATCTATATGGATGTTTTGAAAGTAAACAGTCTTTCATGTTCTCAAATTTATCATGCATAAAAATACACTCTTGTTGCATCAATAGAACGAAAATAAAATCTAATATGGTAATTGTCAAATATTCTCTTCTTGATGTGGTTGTTATGGCTGTAGTTTGCAAGAAGTCTGAATGACATCTTTATGCTTCAATGTTTAAAGAGTTTTAAAACATATCTGGTGAATCTTACTATGACTTTCATGTTATCAAATTTATCATACACTTCCAAATACACTCTTGTCGCATGAATAACATGTTTTAACTTTAAGTGACGAGAATAAGATCTTATAGGCTAATTGTCAAATATTGTCTTCTTAATGCGGTTGTTATGGCTGTAGTTTGCAAGAACTCTGAATGACATCTATATGCTTCGATGCTTAAAGAGCTTTAAAACAGCTTGTTCTTAGTTCCCCCCCCCCCCCCTTTTTTTAAATAACACTGGGTGAAGGATGTTGTTAGAAGGATTATAGTCTGTTTCTGAGTAGTATTGGCAGTATTTACCTGTGTTTTTACCCGTGGTTAGCCCTTTTATATAAGGCGGCACGTGTTCTATCTAAGCTGGAGGCTGATCATATCTACTCTAATAATACATCATATACGATTTTCAGATTTCTAATAACAAATGTAATTTTGTTTTTAAATATTTCAATATTAAGCATATATAAAAATATATATTGATATCAAATATATCCATTCTAGAGTCCTCGTGCTGCTGATATCACATATGATAAGTTGAAATGTGTTATTTTATTTTGTAATAATTTTGTACTTTAAACATATTATTAAATTAATAATATAAACAGTTATAGAATGAATTTTTTCGTTATAATTGTACCATTTAATAAGATGTCTAAATACCTCGTAAGAATGGTTATGTGTGACTAAGAGTGTGATGTTTAACAGTTGATAATTAAACTTTAAAAATAACTTCATCTAAATTCCTAGATGTTAGAAGTATATTATAACTATTATATAAATATTTTAATATCTATAATGATCCAAGCTATCATTTCCATCCTAGTAAGCTAGAAGTGATCAGGGCCTATGTTAATTAGTGAGATAATGATGAGTTTTACCATTATCTAAGCACACCTTGAGAACCGGACGATGGATTTTATGGGGTACGCGAATGCAGCATCACATCTCTTACATCTGGTACAGATTACAACAAAAATGTGTGACACTTGACTGTCGGACTGTAGTGTATATTTACGATAATAACATCTTTTTTTTTGCTTGGCCTTTTTTATTATGACGCAACAATCCCATATATTTTGCATTTCGGCATCATTTGTTTGTGTTTAAATATTACATAAAATTACTAGTGCCAATTGGAGGGTAAAATAATTCTTAAATATCATTTGAAATGATGTCTTATATACAAAGCTTAGCTGTACTGTACATGTACATGTGTACAATAAAATGTTCCATTGATTTAATTTTTTTTAGTTTATTACTTAATTAAGGACAAAAGATCACATGCCTTAATGTTAAAAAAAAGTGAATCTGAGCGTAGATTCGAATTGACTCCGATCACTTCTTCTGGTCAAAAGTAAATTGCGTTACATACGTACATTGGGCTACATCGGACATACACTATTATGTAAACAACCCACGACACCACTTGTTTTTCATTATTTTGAGCACTTTCCTAAACAGCCAAAGGAGGACCACTTTCTCGTCATACGATTTATTTTTGCATATTACATCACGGAATCAAAAAATGTATTCTTAATATGTAAACTCTTACTTTTTAGTTATTGTTATCTGTACATCATGTATGTTACGATTGTATCATGTGTATATATGCATAATTTAATTTTAAATTATCAGCCTAAAATTTGATAAACAGACAATTAAATGTTTATTATTAAATTTTATCAATTTCCTCCCCTCCCCCAATTGTTTTTTGATTTTTTATTAAATTAAAATGAATATATATCCAGATACCTTTCATGTCACATACACAGAAAAGCGAAAACTAAACAGACAATGAAGTGTATATATATTATCTTATTTTATTAGTTCCATACCTAAAACAGTATCAAAACTTATAAAATATATATCAAAAAAATACCTAACATATCACATACACGGAAAAACTACAAGTCATTGCTTAACTTCCGACCGATTATTTCACGCATTTGTCTATTATATTTGTATATTTATTTTGTTTTTAATTTGGAAACTTTATTATACATATAACTATTTTTTAATATAAAAATATCTTAGCAATCACATATTCTTAGAATAACCTGCACATATCCATCGATGGTTGTCTTACATAACCCGCAAAACACATGTTCAACGCACATTCCACGCTAAAGTTCAAACGCACCCACAAACGATCAACGCAAACGCAACGCAAATGCAACGGAAACTCAACGCAAACGGAACGCAAACGCAACGGAAACGCAACGCACTTTTGGTAAAGAAAAACGGTCCAGGGTCTGTATTCATTAACCACCTTTACCGCATATTAATTTACCCCCTTGATTTAAAATTTAGTGTCAATCAATATTTTTACCTTATCTAAATAGGACGTTAAACAGTATATAAACCAAACCAAACTCACATACACGGATGGAGTACACTCGTGGAAGCATGTGTTAAAACTATCCTAGCTATCAACACCACGTTTAACAACACAAAATCAAATCAAATAAACGGCCAATTTAAATACTTGATTACCAAACGACTATATATAACGTGTTCCAAAACTATCCAAGGAGATTCAACAATTGCAAAGAAATAATGGCCGCTCCACTGCGCAGGGACGATATAGAATCGATTTTTTTTTTCGCTGAAGTATTTTCAATAGGACAGTTGGTTTGGTTTAATTTAGTTTAACGTCCTATTAACAACTAAGGTCATCCAGGACAACACTTTTCGTAAGAGAGCAAAGCAAAAGAAACGTGAAACGCTTGTTTTTGCTACTGTACGCTTCAAAAGATTTGAAGGATTTGCTTAAAAGTTGAATTTATTTCTATCCATATAAATTAGTTATTTTTGCTCTCCATACAAGGAAAGAAACACATCACCGGACACGGAATTGGACGAAATCGAGGCCGATCTCATTAATAAGGGAACTAAGAAGTCAAAACGCTCTCCTGATCGCGGCAATTGGTCCAATAAATTTGAGTACCTGTTAAGCCTAATTGGATTTACCATTGGACTAGGAAGTATATGGCGTTTTCCATATCTCTGTTTGAAAAATGGTGGAGGTAAGTAAATTTTATTTTTAGTTAAACATTATCAGATTGTGCTATATTTTGTAAGGTCAAAGCGGCAACATAATTAGAATCAATGCGTAGACAACAAATAACACTCAGTAAAACCATATATCAGTGAAGGTACCAAAGCTATAGAGAAAACTTCTGAGACAAGGTTGTCCTTGCCAATCTCAGGTTTTGTCATTCATAAGTAATACATTCTTATTTATTGAAGACCAGCCTCAACACACAGCATGGAACGAACCATTTACAGTAAAAACCCGTATTTGATTGCATTGACCTTAAGCCAACCAGAGATTTTTGTGAAATAATAATGTTTACAGATTTCAAAACGCTTTTGTGAAACAGTCAACATCTCTACAATTCCAAACTACCAAAAAATTGTTGTTCTATTCAAAAAGATATAAGTAAATCATAGCCAGTTCTACATTTCGTGTTGACGTCTGTCTTTGATCTTTACGTTCGTTTGATGTCCTTACCTTTAACACGTTCAGTTTACTTTATATTGGCCTTACTGACCTCGTCTGTGTTAAAGCGCCGTTAAGAAGCCATCAACTGACTGTTTAAATCGCCCTTCGTCCGTGGATCGTCATTCCGTCCGTAGTTAAAACAATTATTTTATTTCTGAGTAAGTGCTGCATACAGGTTTTCCGTAATCCCTGGTTATGCATGTAACCTATTGTTATACATATTAATTTTTTGGACTGATCGAAAACAAAAACGAATGACCGTCATTCGTCCATCTGTTAAAGAAATCTCGTTAGCGGTATTTCTGAGCATATAATGGAGTGATCTTTCGTAAATTTAACAGATACATTATCAATGTTCGGTAGTTTTGCGTATTGAATATGTGGACTGATCGTAAGAATCAAGATAGGAGACAGCCCGCCATCTTGCAACTTTCACATGTAGGTTCTCCTTCGTCCGTCTATAAGCATATGTCATCCTCATGGATAAGAGGCCCACGGGACTAAATATCACACATGGAATTTGTTATTTAAATTCAAAACCCGTCGAATACCATACTATTATATCAATTGTGTGAATTGTTAAAGCGTTGTTTTACACTTATCGAATAGTTTATCCCTGTTACCTCGAAAACAGATAAAGGTATTTTTGCTCGCAACCTTTGTAAGGCTCCATCCTAGGAATCTACCAGCAAATAACACAAATCCAGGCCTTGCAGTCCTTCAAAAAAGGTCGTTTTAAATTTCAAGTCAGGTTTTATCCCTGTGACCCTGACAGTTGCACAAGCGCAATAATTTTGCAAACTTTGTAGGGCTCCGTCCAAGGATTCTACCAGCATAATATTATGACCCAAGGCCTTTCTGTTCTTCTTCAGAAGTCGTTTGAAGTTTAAGACATATTCGACTTCAGTGACCTTGAAAGTAGGTCAAAATCATTTTAAGGAAGCTAACAGCCCATAACCTTACCTGGCCCTTTCAGTCCAGTCTGATCATATTTCATTTATTCTCTATGAACATGAATCATTTTTATGTCCCTCCACCATGAAATCGGGTGCATATAATGTTACCCATATCCGACCGGTCACGAATGAATGTTAACACTCTTAAAACATTATACAAAGGTCAAGTATGATAATTCCTCCAACACAACTGTAATTTAGGGTTGAAAGGGCTAGGCAACAGTCACTATTGTTGTATGCAGAAAACCATCATTTGATTCATTGTCCTCACTCTAAATACTTCATTTCTTAACAGATTTTTTTATCTAAGTTTATATAGATTTTAGGTATTGGAAGAAACGCGGGTGGGTTCATGTTTTAAGATTCCAAAGGCAACGCCAATGACACTCTTACTATTTATAGAAAGTAATCAACCAATTCAGTGACATATGACTACGAAAATCTAGGACATCTTCGGTATTCGAACGTCAAGATCAAGGTCATGTTGCTAATTATAGAAAACATATAACGGTATCATCACTCTAGCTATTTAATTCATAACAGATTTCAGAAATGAGAATACCTCTAACGAGGTTATGATTCAAAGGTCACTGCATGCTGCCATCCATAGAAGTCGTTGCAACTATGTTTATGCCATTATTGGATAATGAAATTAATTTCACATCGCATCTGGTGCGTTTATGTCTAACAAAGAATGTTCTAGTTCTTTTCGTGTGTTTTTTTTGTTGTTTTTTTTTCATAAAAAAACTCGCAAAATTTGGGATCTTTTTTCGGAAAGAAAAATCTAATTCATAGTTTGGCAGGAGTACAATCTTTTAGAGATTGTTAAAGGTTTTTGGGTCAATGAAAAAGCTAAGGGCATATGTAAACTATGTCAAAGAATGATGGGGTTAATTTATATTTTCTTGCTGATATCTCCCACTACCAATCGGCATCATTTAAAGTTGAATGTCAAGCAGAAAACCTTATTGGTACATGTCATTTCGAAGGATATGTTAACGCATTTACTTTACAACTCTTTGTGCCTTTGCTGTGAACTTTCTATAAACATTTAAACGAAGCTATTTCTCTTTGTTTAAGGAGCATTTCTGATACCGTTTTTCTTCTTCACACTGTTATGTGGAGTCCCTCTCTACTTCCTGGAGCTGTCACTTGGACAGTTTTCAGGACGGAGTGCAGTACTGGCCTGGTCACTCTGTCCATTGTTTGAAGGTGAGAAAGAGTAAAAACAGAAAACAAACATATGTGCATATAAGCTTAATTCATTGCTACATTCCTATATTTATAAAAGTGTTCCAATAATGCTTATTAACATTATCTTTTGACTATTTGATGCTACTTTCTTTTGTCACTGCAAAAATGTAAACGAAACCTTATGCCTGTAAAGTAAGAAGATAAAAATCAACATTTAAATTATTTAACAAACATCCGGAGCCTTATTTTCTTACGACATTGCATTGCATATACGAATTTGAGATAATTTGTTCTAAAGCTCGGTGTTATACATATTTGCTAAATTGGTGACAAAAATATAGTATTTATGAAATGAAACATGTTTTAAGAATGTTTTATATTTATACAGAACTATTTTAAGCGAGAATCCTGCATTAAGATAACAAAATCTTACTAAACCTGAGCATTGTATGCGATTTGTTTTCCTTGCAAGGTATCGGATATTCTGTAACAATGCTGAGTATGCTTGGCGCCTGGTACTACGGGCCAATAGTGGCATGGGTGCTGTTGTATCTAGGATACTCGTTTTTCCCGACTCAACCCTGGTCCACGTGTGACAATATATGGAACACTGATGACTGTGTTGTCCTTAGGACGGGAAATCCAACTGGAACGAACAATTCCACAGGGAACACATCGATGAAAACGAATATATCGGTAATGAACGAGCAAGGGTTCTACCCAACTGCTGCAACCGAATTTTGGCGGTACGTAGACCGAAGCTAAAATTGTGCTATGGACATTAAATAGCTCTCAAGTCTTAACAAACAATCAAACTTAATAGGGTAAAGATAGTCGTGTATGTTTTGAAGACAGTATCTGAAAGCTATACATTTTAATTTTAACCGTTAATATCTATGCTGATAATGGCATGATTATTGATGCGGAAATAGTCAAATTACTAATAAATTAAACTTCATTTATTTTACAAGATTTGTGAACCAAGTACGACAACTTTTATTTAACACTCTTCTAGGCTAGGTTTTGTTTTTGTATTGATTAACGTCCCGTCGGCAATGCGAGTCATATAAGGCCAACAACACTGTAACAAGAGACATTCACGAAAATTAACACATCAAACCAAAACAACTTAATAGGTTAAAATATATAAAGGATTAAAGCAATACATTAGTATCGACGAACAAATTGACTGCACACTATATCATTCTTTATTGTAAAGATCAATAGAGTGTAAATGGGTCGGATGGTAGCGTGCATGGTGTCTTAAAGTGGGAGAAAACCTACGCAGTTGGACAGGTGACGCCGTATCTTTTCATGTCTAATCGGAGAATCAAACCCCGACAGAAAGAGTAACAGATGGACTTTCGAAATGTAACATTGCAAGATGATTCGATGTCTTCAATAAAGAAACATTGATACTATAGGTGCTTACATTATACATCATACTACGCTGTTATTTGCGCTTATATTTTATGATGTACATTGATAATTATGTACCTGAACTGAAACAAGATCTTTAGTCTGTCCGTAAGCACTTAATGTCTCGTCATTCGTTTCGCCGCTTATAACCGATTTATTTACAACTTTAGATTTGAATATCGTGAGCTGTGCATATGATAATGCTTTACATGTTTCTCATGTAACATTTTGTTTTGGTTTATCCGAAACCGCGACCCAGTGGTATATCATGTTATAGGAGTTACACCCCTGTAACCATTTCTTAATACAATTGTCTAATTAAGCATTTCCCGCTTATTGACAGATCTCTTTAAAACTTAAACCAACAATTCAGCATGCATCGTGTAGATGTGTACTGTGTTATTGTGTGATATGTTAGTAGTTTATCGTTAGTGTTATAACTGTTGCCACTTCTTTCATTATATACAGATACAAGATACTGAACGCATCACCTGGGATAGAAGATTGGGGTACACCGCAGTGGCACCTCGTTTTGGCCCTCTTCTTCTCATACGCTTCTATATTCCTGTGTATCATCAAAGGGGTGAAATCTGTTGGAAAGGTAACAATAATAATATCAAAAGCATGTATAATCACAATTTCTGATCAGAATTAATTGATCTGTTTATATCCACAATTGAAATTATATATTTTTTTAAATTAAATAATGTATTAATGGCACAGAATTTATTACAACCTTTTTGTAATTATTACTTTTACTTATAATACTGAATTTATCTAACGTAAATTATACTTTTCCCTTAAAATCGACACTGAAATCATATTTTAGGATTTGGATATTTGATCAACAAGCTTCGATTTGAATGAATGTTTTGCATTTCAATATGTATTAGCGAACTAGGGCCCGTATTCATGAAACCGTTCTCATGTTCAAGCATGGATTCTGTGCTCAAACCATCTTTTTCGCAACTTGCTTAACTTATGTCACACGATCACAAAGTCAAATGTTTACATTGGAAACAACATCTGGCATTAAGTCTCTCAAAACGTTTCCAAATCATTGACAAATTTAGATTGATTTATTAAGTTATAACAAGAACAAGAAATTAGACTTGAGCACAAAATCTATGCCTGAGCATGAGCACGGTTTCATGAATACGGGCCCATGACTTCGATACTTTAGTAAGCCGCTAAGCTTTAACTTTATTTTGAATTTCATTTATTTAAGATTGTTAACCTATTGTTTTATTTATAAAATGCCAAAATAATGTGTCGTATATTAACAAATAGATTTAACGGTGTCTCTTACTTTAACGCAGGTTGTATACGTCACGGCGCTCGGACCGTTCGTCCTACTGGTTGTCATACTAATCAGGAGTTTGTGTTTGGAAGGATCTACAGATGGAATCATCATGTATCTGAAGCCAGACTTGTCTAAACTACTATCATACCAGGTTTGTAAACTTTTAATAATAGTAATAATTATTGGAGGTTCTTATATACCGCTTTATCACAACCTAGTTCGTAGGCCGTCTCAAAGCGGTTCACAAATTATTATCCGTGGTTATAGGACCTTTGCAACCAGCCATTACCTTTCTCAACTCCTTGGGAAGCATACAGCCGGAGCTGCCATTTCGGCGCTAACAGCTAGCAATCAACAATTCTAGCACTGCCGAACCACGTACTCATTTACAGCCGAGTAGACAGGAACAAGCGGAGTAAAGTATCTTGCTCAAAGATACAACACATTGCCGTGCCGTGGCTTGAAACCGCAACCCTTCGGTCACGAGCCCGGCGTCCTACCATTGGACTACCGTGCCTCCTATTAGCAATGTTTAAGGCCTATAGCCATTCTAAATACAGTTGGTTTTCATGGATTCGTGGTCTTGCTAAAAACTAAAGCCAAACATGGTTATCGCAGTTTTATTCAGTAGAATAAATTAAAATTGAACTGTTTGATTGTGTTTTACGTCATATGAACTACTATAATCTAATCGTGTTAAGTTTTGCTGCGCTTTCTGCTTACAGATTTGGTTAGAAGCTGCACTGCAGGTATTCTACTCGCTAGGGCCGGTTTGGGGTGGTGTAATAACTATGGCCAGCTACCACAAGTTTCGGGGAAATATCATGAAGTAAGTAGTATTAACAGTTCAAGCATCATTATATCTATTATATAATATATAAAATATAAACCAAAAGTACGGGTGGAATCAAGTTTTGAAGATACTATACTTTTATAGCTTTTCTGGTCCGAAGGACGGTGGGCTTATGTCGCGACGTCCGTTGTTTATCCGTCCATCGGTTTTCCTTAAAGCGCTACTATGAATATGTCATGATCTCTTAAATATCCAGGTGAGCGATACAGGACCTCTTGGCCTCTTGTTTTCTTTTCACTGTTCATTTCATTTTCTGTTTTACGTCAAGGTTCAAATATCGAAATATAGAAGTACGTTATGTTTAAATATGAGCGATATCATATCAATCGTTATTTTTGACACTCAGAACATTAATAAAACATAACTTATAGACCGTAATGTAATTAGTTAGCTAGCTATTGCGTGATTGCAGAAACAATGCATGATGACTTGCTACTGTATTCTGATTCTAACATGAGTAAGTTTGTTTATTTTAAACATACCGAAAGTTTTGTTTGTTTTAGGTTCAACGTCTTTGCAAGCAGCTGAGGTATACTTGAAGTAAACAAATCAACAGTAGCGTTTTACTTTTATTTTGTTTGGGATTTCACGTCTTTGCGACAGCATAGGTTAAGTTATACATAGTAGCCTTTAAGCTGGCGATGATTATAACTTTGTTTTAAAAGTATTTACTAAATCATAATTTTGTTTTTCAAGGAACACCATGATTATTGTGGCCGTGGACACATTCAGTAACTTTCTTTGTGGTCTCGTGGTTTTTTCCATCCTCGGGTTCCTTGCACATGATGCTGGGCTCTCCATCACAGAGGTGGCGGAATCTGGTTGGTAGAAAAAAATACATGATCGATACGAACTAATATAAAATTATAATATATCTATCTTTTTCGTGTCCGCACCAAACCTTCGTAGAGATGACAAAATTTCAAAGAACGTTACACATAAGAAATATCTTATAAATGTTCTTAACGAATCGTCGAAGATACAAATATGTCATTACCAGTCATAACTAACTAGCATAGTTAGAAGAGTACACTTCGGTTGACGAAGTATCGCAATAGTTTAGAGCTATAGTATCACATACTTAAGTTCGGGGTTTGTGTTCTGGTCTTACCCTGCATAATTTGTAACACTCATAACACTTCTTCTTTGAATTATTTTACACAAAAGCTCTTCAAGGTTTGATTCTCTTCCCAGAAACCATTTAATCAAAACTATCGTAATACCGGAAACAGTTTCCAGTACTTAATTACAGTTGTTGGGAGCGCTACGAGGGTTGTTAAGTTAATAAAGCAATTTCAAATGCCAAAAGAATTAAGAATATTTAAGATGTGTTTTGATCTAGCAGTAATTAGCATTAATGACACAAAGATACAGTTACCATATATCATCAAGTAAGCAGTATAAACAATGAACTGTTACAGGTCCCGGTCTCGTGTTTCTAGTTTACCCAGAGGTTCTCACCCGCCTGCCTCTGCCTCAAATATGGGCGATTATCTTCTTCTCTATGCTGTTTATGGTTGGCCTCGACAGTCAGGTAATGACCAATATTTAATCTGAACCTGTATACTGTACATTTCAAATCGTTTTGCAAACAAAGTTATGAAATGTCGAATGAATAACTCAGGAAAACATCATTATGCGCTTCTCTCAATTATGTTGTGCTGGATACCACAAATCGATGTCTGTCGGAAGCTGTTTTTTATCTCACGCCAGACGAAGTTGGCAGAAGATAAACAAACGACTTACATCCTTCCGGTGCGGTTACGTGCTCATATTTAAACTTCAGGGAACCTTGTATGCGCATCCAAAATACCGTATTGCCTTTTGTAATAAGGAGTATTTTTATAAATTATTTTCTGTTACCATGAACATATAAATCCAGAAATGCAAAGTGCATTTTTTCCACAGCATTTTTCGAAAACCGTTTTAAATAGCTTCACAAACTTCCTACTTACCTGTTACTATAGAAACAAATATAGTGCTATTTAGTTCTATGTAAAGCACACCATCGTGAACTGCCATATTGTTTCAAATGTTTTTCAAAGTCAAAATTACGTGTCATTAATTTGCAAAATTGACACGAATGGGAGTTTCCCATCCAAATAGATAATACGTTTTGTTGCTTTCATATGAAAAAATAGCTATGTAAGACAGAGAGAGAACATTTTCATGTATTCGAAAATTGACTACTGTCTGAAAGAGTTTTACATCACCCGAAAGTAGGTGATATATTACGATGACGTTTTGGATTAGTATCTTTTCCTGAGATATAAAAAGTAATCTTGGAAGAAGGCATCCTTTAAAAGATTTTGCGATTTATTAAAGATGTTTTGCTTCACCATGCGTGATACAAAAATCAAGAACGACATTTCTTTTTCTGCTTTTTATCTCTTTTGCTTCCCTCTTTAGTTTGGGTCCCTGGAGACGTTGATAAGTGCTTTAATGGACATGTTCCCCAAAACTCTTGGCAGACGGAAATACCTCGTTTTTGCCACTGTTTTTGCCCTGTACTTTTCTACTGGCATAATATTCACAACACAGGTGAGTAAATCTTTAATACATCTACATATATCATTATAAGGTAATCATCGGCGGTATTAGGTTATGTCGGTTGGTAATTTGGAGTTCTATGTTCATGCAACAGCTAAAAAACATGTCCACACGTGTTGGATATGTTACCCTTCAGTCAAACATTTCATGATCGAGTATGCAGAACATTTTAGACAAATGCACCAAATAAGTTATAACGTAACACCATTTAAAAATCCGATAGTTTTTGTAAATGACATATATATTCATTTGAATTTAATTTGCTTTTTTAATTTATTGATTATTTGTTTTGCATTCTTACCTTTTTGACATTAGAACATTTATTTTTAGTTTGCATTAACCTTAAGCTAACCAAGAACATTTTTATAATATAAAAAATAGCAACTTATTTTCCGCATTAGACTCTCACTTTTCAATATAGCACTATAAAGTCAACATCAGATCCGCTCTATCACAAAAGGCAATTACACCAAAACATGAATACTTTTGAGAGACAAATTCAGCGGTGTCTTAACAAACTTCAAACCGGGGCAAATGCAAATTGCTTCAAATTTTCGAAATCTAAAACGGTGTGTATGCACTTTTTCGCCAATTTCGAAAACTACACGATGTTCCCTATTTGAGACGGAACTGTTATTCCAGTTGTTCAACAAACTAAATTTTCTTTTCAAAGGACTCTTTGTCACTACTACAAACTATTAAAAGCTGGAACTTTAACAACATTCTCGTACACAATAACGCCCTCCGTATTAACAGAATTTTAGTTTTCAGTCAACTGGTCTTGACTTTGATTCCCGGCCATGTCAGAATGAATGGAAATGAAAAGTAGATAGAGCTGCTAAGGCAGCACTGAACCTCAATACGAAATATATAAAACTGACATATTCTGATTTTAACCGGCAATATCATTTTTTTATAAACGAATTGGCAAAATAAAAGGTCTGAAGAAAGAAAAATAAGTTAAATCATTTATTTTCAGTACAACCTAATGTAGGTTCATGTGCAAAAGGTAGAGCAGACCGCAGAGAGGAAGTTGTCCTTTCGCGACTACGCATAGGCCATACATACATCACACATAGCTGCATTTTGCATGGAGAAGAATAACCTTCTTGGCATCCCTGTGATCAGCCATTGACAGTCAAACACTTTATGATTGAATGTGCTGATTTCAAACAAACACGCGACAAATTTTATTATGTACCCTCTATGAAACGTTTATTCAATACAGTTTCTGTGCAATCAATCTATGATTATTTACATTCAAATAATCTCTATAATAAGATATGATTTATTTACATATTTAAACCTTTTATTTCTTGTTTTGATATATTCAGTTTTTTGTTAATGTCTATTTTTACACAGTTGTTTGGCCCTTAATGACTCAAATTGTCGATGGGCAGTAAAACAATACAATACAATACAAGACCCCTGTGACCTTTAATGTAGGGCAAGGTTATTTCATTCGCCATGTGTATCGTGCTCAATCAAAAGACCAGCTAATTATTCAGATTATATATCTTGACATATTTGACTCGTGACCTGGAATACCTCAGCAATTCGGGGATCGCAAAAATACTACACCTGCTGTTACCCACGGCTTGTATTGCAATCACTCGCAATGCTGAACATAAAGCAGGGAGCAGCAACTACCATTTTAAGGACTTCGGTATGTTCTGGTCTGGTGACATAAACCATTGCATTACTCACCTGGGCGAACTCTCAACATGAAATCCCGAAGCGAGGTTTTGCCAAGCAAGGTGCTAGGAAATAAAAGGTAGTTAGAAGTAGAAATAAAGAACATCCCACATGTTGCAATGGGTGCAGTAGATTTATTTTGGTCAAATCCCCAATTCTGCAGGGGGCTCCATCATTTGTCGAGCCTCTTACGATACATACAGTGGGTAACAGCAGGTGTATTCTTTTCTCGATACCCGACCTGCAATGTGTGTTGTGTGATACATACTCGTACAGGTAAAAGAGTGATTAATATAATTAATAAGTTTCTGTAACTGTTCTAAATAGACTTAACTGTCATAAGGTATTTAAAAAACTACTGCGAAAACTCATTAAAAAGGTGATTTGGTTTTTAAAGATAAAAACATCAATTTATAAAAATAGCATACATGTTGGTTAGTGCATCATTTTTTCTTTTTTTCTAGGGCGGAATATATATTTTCCAGTTCATTGATTGGTATCTAACGTCTTTCATTATATTCTTGGTGGCGTTTCTAGAATGTATCATTGCCGGATGGATATACGGTAAGAATTTTAACACGTTTGCTGTTCATCAATAGTCAATATCAATGGCGTATATGAAACTTTTTGAAATAATTATATTACAGTATGATAACATTTATCAAAACTTTGTTAAGGACTATATATAGAAAAGAATTATATAGCTTGTTTCGCATGGGTATGAGCAAATACTGTTTTAGCTCACATGCCTTTACCCGTGGTGCTCCGTCAGTCCGGCGTCAACTGTAAACATTTTCTTCTGAGCAATCAAATGGATAGGATGATGATATTTGGCCAGTAGCATACCTATTTTTAGGTCACAGGGATCAAATATGTTCAATTATTTTAACGACTGAATAACCAAGAAGCCTAGGATGATGATATTGGGAAGGGCTACCAAGTTTGTTTAAATGAATGAACTTGACTTATACTCAAGGTCACCTGTGTCAAATATGTTTACAACATTTAAACAACATCTTTTGAATAACCAAGATATCTAGGGTGATGCTATTTGGCCAGTAAAATGCTGGGATGAAGGGCTACCAAGTTTGTTCAAATGAATGACCTTCACCCATTTTCATGATTTCATAGGTCAAATATGTTAAAATCTTTTAACAAAGTTTTCTTTACAACCAAAAAGACAAGGGTGATGATATTTTGTCAGTAACATGCTGGAACAAATAATTACCTAGTTGTGTCAAGGTCACAGGTATCAAATATGAAGAAATCTTTTTACAACTTCTGAGTAACCAAAATGTCTTGGATAATGATATGTGGCCAGAAGCATGATGGGATGAAAGGCTGTTCAACTTAACGCCATTTTTTTTTACTTTCAAGATCACAGATGTCATATGTTTAAATCTTTTAATTGATTCTTTTGAATGAAACACCGATAATTTGCCTGCATTTTAGTCCAATTTTAAGATATTTACCAGGTGAGCGATTCAGACCGTTTGGCATATTGTTTAAAAACCTTTCACTTCCGGTTTTTGAGTATGCGCAAGTAGTTTCATCATTCAAATACTATTTACTTCTGGTTTTTGTACAAGTATGCTCATATTTAAATTTTCTTCATTTACTTTTTTTTTTAAGTTTGAAGACGTCTTAGTTTGTTGCGTGATATCATCAGTTCATGCTTTCATTTTGTGAAGGCTTGGAAATCTGTGTATTGGACGATATGTGCTAAGTTTTGTCTATTTTCTTTCTCATTGAAGGTGCGGAGAGATTGAGTCGAGATATCCAATTGATGACGGGGAGATCAGTTTCAGTGTTTGTCAGGGTGTCGTGGAGTTTCATCATACCAACTGTGATGCTGGTATGAAACACGATATACATTTGTAGCATTTTTAATTAAAACTACGTAAGACAAATGAAACCGAGGTGGAATTTTGCACGGAAAACTCCTGCAGTTTTATCGTTTTATTGTTTTGTTCTTACTCGAGTGTTTTTTATTCATAATTTTGCAATCATTAACATACACATTTGGTCCAGATTAATACGTTCTTATATTTAAAATATTTTTGTTATTAAACTTGCTACACTTGTCTTTACTTTATACGGCTATATCAGTTTGGAAACGTCTCAGTTTTCCTCCATACACTGTTGCGAGTATGTTCAATTCCACTGTTGCGAGTACGTTACATTCCACTGTTGCGAAATGTTGCGAGTATGTTTAATTCCACTGTTGCGAGTATGTTTAATTCCAAACAAAAAATTCTGATGTTCATAGACAATTATGGATGGGAGCATTAAATGGTTGCGCCGACAGCATGAAGCTATTTTTGCAGATTGCTCTTGAAATCATTTCACAGTAACAGTAATCATGTTTTTCAATGTAACAATTCCCATTCAAATTATTCAATTAATTCTCCCCAAATTCTTTTCAGATTGCGTTCATAGGAGTAGCAGTAAAATTTGAACGACCTGTATACCGGGGATATGTTTATCCGGATTACCTTGGTATTGTTGGAATGTTTGTTGCCTTGTTCCTGGTATTACCAATACCCATCGTTATGGTAAAACGACTGCTACAAGCACCTGGCTCATTCATGCAGGTATGTTTGAAACAACTATAAACAGCTCATTAGTTAAGGTGTTAATGTAACAATAATCTAAACTTTCGACATCATATATTGTTGCATTTATAGTTCATCAATTTTTATGTAACGATCTTGATGAAACTGATTTTCATTTACGTCTGTATCCTAGTCATATACGGCTTCCAACAAGTATAAAAGAAATATGGCTTCCGTATATTTTAGAGACTGAGAGCGTCATTGACTCCTGCACCAGAATGGAGACCGCAAGACGAGAAAGAAAGGTTTACATACAAGCAGTACCAATACAGCGGGCGTACTTGGCAAAATATCAAGACTAATCTGAGGGGCGAATGAGAAATTTCTGTTACCTGTCTGTCTAGCAATTTTGACTTAATTTTGTATACAAAAGACATTGTTTTCCTATTTTGGTCATTTTATTCCAATATTTATATTCTTACAGGCATTTAATATCCCGTTTGATACATAATTTCCTATGTTTCCATTTCATTATACATTACTCATTCCTTCTCTTTTGCATATTCATATACTCTAATAAAATTTTCTGTAATGTTCTCGTACTTATATGGAATTATACTATATGTGTATTGTGTATATGCATATTTTACAACGTTTTTGTGTATATGGACAAACTAAGAAATACGTTCAACTGAAACCGAACTAGATGACAATAACATGTAGAAAACATTATACTGGTTATGCCAAAAGACCTTTGGTGTCAAAGTTTCAATATCGACTCTTAAGTCCTTTATGCGCGGGTACATATCAGTTGTTTATTGCAGTAGGTACTTTGATATGCGGGCCTTTTTATTACGTTTAACGTTATTTGAAAGTCATTTAATTCAGAATCTTTAATTATGTCTTCCCTAGAACGAAGGGGACATATTACATTTGTACTGAGTCTTGTCCCTCTTCCTACATCCAAAGGATATGCAACTGCCTATCGGTTTAGTATTGTTTAATTCCTATCAAGAGCTATGGTCATTTGAGGACGGCCTCCCCTGTGTGCCAAATGCATGCGTGTAGTGTATGCGTGTGTGTTTTAGGAGGCTGCGATATGTTCGTGTTTGTTTCCTTGTGATAGCGCGAAACGGTCATCCCACTCCTAAATAGCTGAGCGTTAAGCAAGAGTAGAAACTACCATTTTTACAGACTCTGGTATGTCTCGGCCAGGTGACAGAACCAAAAGCCTTCCTCACAGGGGCGAACGCTTAACTAAATGCCAAAAGTGAGGCATTGTCATGGAAGACATTAGGAAAAAGGACAAAGTTTAGAAACAAAAGATAAGATCACAAATGTAGTCGCCTCTTACGATCATGCAGTGGGGCAGCAGGTATAATGTGTATGCCCTACCTGCAGGAACATATGAAACTCCCTGAAGCTGGTTTTAAATCATCTAAATCCAAACGAATAGGTTAAATAAATGGTATGAAGAAATAAATAATACGTTATTTGCAATTCAACCTAACGTAGGCTCATGAACAACGAGTTGAGCAGACTGCAGAGAGGAAACTGACATCTCGCGACTGCACATTGACTATACCTACATCAGTCAAGGTTACAATTGACGTAAAGAAGACCAACCTAACTTTCATGCATGTGACTTACAGTCAAACATTTGTTGAGCGTTCGCCCCTTTGAGGAAGGCTTTGGGTTCTGTCCCCTGGCCGAGACATACCAAAGTCTTTAAAAATGGCAGTTTCTACTCCTGCTTAACGCTCAGCAAATTAGGAGTGGGACGACTGGTTCGCCCGTTGTCAGTATAATGTGACCGGGTGGGGCGTCCTGCTGGGTGTCTTCGGCAGTATGTTTCAGTGAGGTAGCACTATAAAGTCGGCATCAGTTCCGCGCTATTACAAGACAAACACGAACATGTCGCAGCCTCCCAAAATACACACACATACACTACACGCATGCATCTTGCACACAGGGGAGGACGTCCTTAAATGACCTTAGCTGTTAATAGGACGTTAAACAAAATCAAACAAACAAACAAACAAACAAAAATCTATAAGCACTGTATATGCAAAAAAAAATCTACCCAGTTTCTATGCTATTTGCAATCAATACATGATTTGTTACACTCAATCGACGTTTACTATAAACATTTTATATTCTTCGCCCAATTCGACATATTGAAGTATCTTTCGATCTTTTACACCATTTTACCTGTCTTTATTTAGTTTGAAGTAATTTTGAATGTGTATTTTGATAATGATGTCTGGCCTTAAATGACTCACATTGTCGGTATGCCCTAAACATACAAACACAGATTTAAACATAGAAGATAACGCCGATAGGAAGAATGGGAAAAAATTCAGATTCCAAGTTTGTATTGGTTACAACAACTTAATTTCGTTTTCGTAAATACCCCCTAAGTAAAAGACACAGAAGAAAATACCCTATTCTGCAGGAGTGGCCAACATTTGGTTTGCGTAGACCCGTTAAAATGAAAACGAATGAATTACACAAATACACAATGATGATAGTCAAATTTGTGGTGATACTTCTCGATTGAGTTTTACATGTAAGAAGAATACAAATTCACGATTCTGCGCGTCAGGAGAATTGGAGCAAATATTCCAATCGGATTTCAAAATGGCCAAGGCGGCCATACCGGATTTCAAGTCGGCTCGAGAATAACATGTGCTTCAGTAAAATTTGAGTTTAGATTTAAAACAGATTTTTTAAATTGCCTGCTGGGGCGAATAATGGACTTTAAATCGGCATCAGAAGACATTTAATTGATCATTTCAACTTAGTTTCGGCGAAATCGGTTAAGCACAAACTGACTTTAAATTCTAACAAGAGACTCAGAGGGCCTGTATCGCTCACCTAGATATATAATCAAGCAAGCATGGCAAATATCTTCATTAAATATTTTACTTCAAATATTTCCAAATGTTGGATCTCCCTTTACCTTATTGATTCCACAACGATTGGTGAGGGGCGCCCATTTTCATATTTAATCAAAAATATTTACCTTATTGGGTCATTCCTTTCTGTCCCCAGGGGAACAAGGCAGTCAATGTACACAAAATTGAGTCATCTTTGCTCAAGAACGGCTCTAGACCATATTTGATTAAAATCTCTCCATTCTTACTGAAGGAAAAGGGTGTAAAAATAACTTCTATTTCACCCAATTATGCCCCGCCTCTTTGCCCTCTGAGTAATCCTATTCTCCAGTCATATCAAATTGAGTCCTTGTTGTCCAAGGATTTCATTTAAACCAAATTTGTTTAAAATCCAACATACAGTCTTAAAAAAGAAAAAGATTTACCCCTTTTTCTCCTATTAGACCTCGACCCTTTTCCCAAAAGGGGACCACGATCTTCATTTATACAAGACTGAGTCCCCTTGTCCGAATATGCTCTAACAAAAAGTGGTTTAAATCCCCAATTAATACAGAAGAATGATTTTAAACACTTTGACTTACCCTTATGCTCCCGTTTATGTGGCCCGTTCCTCTGCCCCCATGAGTTCACACTCTAAATTTATACAATGATGATCTCATTTTGCCCATAATATATACAATGCCCCTTCAAGATACAAAATCCTTTCAATCTTTCGAAAGAAGGATTTGAATTTATTAATTTATGTTCCACAATGAATCGAAATTGCTATAATACCAGATATTCCACTATTGACAATACGACTGCCTGAAGTAAATTTAGGATAACACAATAATGAAAAATCTCGCGTATTCCCGGTTCAATTCAAGAGGGCGTTTTCCGAGTTCATCTCGCGATTTCCTTTCATAGACGTTTATTACGGACGGCTCTAAATGCGAAGAGGAAGTTGCAGCAGCATGTCTTTTTCCTGCCGATTACCAAAAAATGTATCTATTTGTACAGCTGAAGCTACTGATGTTGGTCAGTCTTTGGAAGAAATTGAAAATAATAAAATTAACAAAGCAATAATTTGTTTTGACTCTTTGTCACTGATACAAAGTATCAAAAATCGGAATTTGAATAATATTTTCATACAAAACATCGCCCATCGTATTAACAGAACTTTATTGTTTTGCCACCTGATCTTGATTTGGATACCAGGTGATGTCGGAATAAACGGAAATGAGTAAGTAGATAAGGCTGCTTAAGCAGCCCTTAACCTTCAACCCAAAGATATTAAACTGCCTTTTATTCTGATTTTAAACCTTCTATAAACCAGTTGGCAAAATAAATGGTCTGAAGAATTAAACAGCAAAATATCAGCAATTCATCCAATGTGGTTTCATGTGCAACAAGTAGACCAGATCGCAGAGGAAATTATCCTCACGCGACTGCGCATAGGCCATACCTACATCACACATGGTTACATTTTGCGTAAGGAAACCAGGCGTATTTACCTGCATGCGATCAACCATTTACAGTCAAACACTTTATGATTGAATGCGCTGATTTCAAACAAATTCGCGACAGAGTTTATGATTTACTGTCCATGAAGGGAAATTTCGATACAGTTTCTGTGCAAATAATATTTGACTATTTGCACTATTGATCTTTACAATGAAATATGATATATTGTTCAGCCATTTTTTTTCGATATTGATATATATTTTTAACCCTTTACATACTTTAAGCTGTCAAGATTTGGTTTGATGTGTTTATTTTCGTGAATGTCTCTTTTTACAGTATTGTTGACCCTAAATGACTTGCATTGTCGATGAACCGTTAAACAATACAACAAAAGGCCCAGAGGGCCTGTATCGCTCACCTGAAAATGTTAGAAAAACTGCAGTTGAAATAGCCAGATGTAGTCAGGGTTGAATTTAGATGCAATTTGGCAAAATCATGTCATTCCTACAGAAAAAGAAGGAATTTGAAGAGTTTGCTATGTTTCCACTATTGGGACCTGCCCCTCAGTCCCCAGGGGATCAAACTCACTGTTGATACAAAATTAGTTCCCCTTCACCCAAGGATGCTTTAGACCAAATATTGACATAATCCTCCTACAGAAGAAGAAGATTTTTAAAGAATTTGCTAAATTACCCCTATTGGACCCCACCCCTCAGGCCCCAGGGGAGTCAGACCCACCATTTAAATAAAATTGATTAACCTTCCCAATAGGATGCTACTGTTCAAATTTGGTCAAAATACCTTATTCCCAATGCAAGAAAAAAGATATTAAAGCTATTTCTTTATATCCCTTATTGGGCCCGCCTCTCTGCCCCAACGTGTATACACTAGTGGTTCCCCTTCATACCAAATTTGGACAAAATCCTATCATTCCAAACGCAGAAAAACCATTTTTATGAATNGCTCACTCACTGCTTTTACAAAATTTGTTCCCTTTTGCCCAAGGATTCTCCATACCTATTGGGATGAAATTCTTTTATCCTTATGGTAGAAGAAGGACTTTTAAGCTTTTACCTCTATTTACCCTATTGGGCCCCGTCCCTCTGCCCCCAGGGGGTCCCACCCATCATTTATACAAAATTGAGTCCTCTTAGCCAAAGGATGCTCCAGACTAAATTCATCTTCGCTAGCCAAGTGTTCACTTCGTATAC